ACCATGAGAGCAGACTTCCAAGGTCATCCTGTCATCCGGAGCTCCCACTGCACCACATCAGTAATGACCCTGTCCAGGTGAGCCACCTCCCCTTATTTATATTAAATTAGCCTCAAAAGAGCCTCCCCTCGGCCCTGCTTCATTGCCTGGCAGCCCTGACCGCACAGTAGTGTGAATGACACCTGAAGTGTTCCGTATTTCAACGCAAGGTTCATCTTAAAAAAGGTCTCAGAGAGACCAAAATAAAAGTTAGAGAGCATATACCCACCAACAGAACCCGATGCCATAAAATATAAATGAATGGTTGCCATGGTAACTGCTTCAGAGAGAAACAGCCCCCCACAAATGCTCAATGGCCAGAAGAAATCCTCACACACGCACACACCTGGTCCTTCCCCTTCCTTACCGTTAGGACCGAGCTTCGTTCAAAGCCTGGAGTTTACCGAATCCGCCAACGTTTCGCGCCAGCAACACGAAGAGAAGCGCGTCGCTTCCGTCACTGAACCCTTTACAGATTTCTCCAAGCATCCTGAGAAATCCCATTGCTTTGGACAAATCTATAAGCCCTCTTATTGCTCTGTGAGGCACGGTTTTGAATTACTGTTTTTCATTACTGACGCGCTTTCTAGCAGTCCCTGCTGTGAGATAAAGTGGCATTAGAGCGGCGTTACCGGCTGGCGGAGCGATTGAGAGACGTACGGGGCTGCAATATACTCCTTGAACTAAGAGGCAGCAATATATCTAGAAGCCCTTTTGCTAAGAGCAGGAGGAGGAAGGGCAGAAAAAGAAAGCACCGTATGCTCCTAGGCTGCACACATGCAAACCCTCAAATACCTGCTACTGACCGAATTCTACATTTCAAACTAAAAATGCAAACTCTAGAGTGATGTAAGCAGTACCAGGGCCATTTCAGGCCCTTCTGAGAGGCACAGGGCATGGAGCAGGGCTAACATGACACCACAGCTTCCAGGTCAGGGAACCTTGTGCCCACGCAGCATGGAGAGGAGGAACTGCAGCCCCAGACCTTCTGCCTCCACCCATATAGACCTGTCCTGCTGTAGGGCAGCTTCAGCTGCCACCGCGCTGGGAGATTCCCGAAAGCACCTGGATGGCTCGGCAGCAGCAAAAGGCACGCTGTGTCTTGAGTGCCGTGCTTTCTCGGAGATACTGCTGTTACTGGCACTGGGAGGATTCATGTTTGAGTGCTGGTTCTGAGTACAGTTCAAGTCCGAGGTTACTGAAAGCCAGAAGCAGCTATTAGGCTGAAATGTGCTCCCACGTGCACGCCCACGCTGCAGGATCCCTAACTGTGAAGCAGAGCCTTACAAGACTGGTGTTGTCCAGACAGAACAAAAAGATGACAGGAGAGAAAGAAGGTCAGGCAAAAGCAGGAAAAATTAATGTGACTAGCCTGGTCAGCAGTGGTCTCGGCACTCCTCTGACCACGCTTGGGTCTCTGCAGCTTTCTAGGACAAGGAGCATATAAAGGTTTGCAGATGTTCCCAGGCAGCTCCTTCTGAATGCGACTGACAGCACTGGGGACAGCACCAAGATAAATTCCTGAACGTGTTTCTAAGTGGACAGCAGACCTCCCTGCCCACCCAGGGATGTAAACTGGTACTTGAGAGTGAGCAAGAGACAAACAATGTGACAGAAACAGATCAGGGGGCAAGTAAGATCACCAGCCAAGGCTGGGCTAGTGGAGGGCTGCAGAGACGAAACCAAACCAGGAGGCAAGAAAAACGAGTGCTCTGCAAAGAGGA